ATTATTTCTCTTAATAAATGATGACCTAATTAATTTTTAATCGATCACTAGAATATCTGGTATCGATATGGAATCAATTGATCAATTAGCAACAATAAGTGCAATTGTATAATTGTTTTTTATGTCGATTCTGGGGGATGAGTTGGGGAATTGTTTTTTTTGCAATAACAATTGTTTTGATTTTTATGATTGCAGGTTCAGCGTCTATTGACCAGAAGAATGGAACTGCCAAAAATAATAAAACCAACAATAACGTCGAGCTCAATAGAAATGAAGATCACAATGGAATCGATCTGAAGAGTTCCACCAAAAAAAAGAGTGGAAATGGTCCTCTACTCCAGCAAGCGTGAGTTTTTCATTCTTCCGTGACAACAGATGAAAAACATTTTCCTCCTTATTCAAATGTTCATTGTCGGGATTTTTAGGGAGGTGTCATCCAGTCAAATCGACTTTTTTCGCATGCTGGACGAGAAAATCGAAAATGTAAGTCTTTTTTTCACACTTTTATCCCATTTTTCACTGTTATTTCACAAACAATTTATCTATTTCATAATTAATAATAAATTCCATTCACCCTCACCATTATTTCGTTGATAAATAATTAATCGTTAATTTTTCTATTGAAATTTCATGGAACAATGAGTGAAAATTGAATTGTTCAATTATTCCGTGAAAATTTAGGGATCTAGAGTTTTGGGTGGAAAATTTTTCGTAGATAACGTTTATTACTCGTTATTGATTGAATTATTTTTTTCTATCAAGCGAATTGACCATGACTTCCTTGGAATCAATTATCAATATTTTTCAGAGTGTTATCAAAAGATTAAATTCCTCATATTTTCCAATCACTCCGAGAACTGAAAGAAAATTTCTAATCAAATTCCGAGATTCAGTCTCGAATATTTTTCTTTCCACTGGAATCTAATGGACGTAATCGATTAAAAAAAAATCAAAAGTCTATGCAGAAAATCAATGCAAATTTTGAATTTTATTTCAATTATCTATAAAAATTATTAAAAATTATAAAAACTGGGGATTTCATTTTCGAATTTCAATTACGTCAGTATCCCTGAATAATATATAATTATAATCTGCTCTCTATTAATTTAATCGATTCTTACATTAATCCATTCATTTGATCTCAATTATTAATTTACCCCCAAATCCCGTTATCAAGCAATAAAATCCCTCGATAAAATCTCTAAAAAAAAAATGATCATAAAAAACCGACAACCGCGTCCTCGAGAAAAGTAAAAATCGTAATCACTAATCAAGATAATTCTCCCCCCACCTGAGATAATGGAAAATGACTAGACAGTAAATAGATAATAGTGACTTATCCCCTATCCCACGCTCATCATTCACAACCCGAGCAATTAATTAAAATTGTAAATAAAAAGTTGAACGTAAAATGAAGAATCTGGAGAGT